TCACGAGAGAGACAAGGCCCCAGTCTCCTGCTCCCGCCTGTCCTGCTCCCACTGTTGTTGTTACATGCTGGAGAGTCTGTTCCAACTCACAGCGACCCTGGAGAGCATTTCCGAGGAGCGGCTGGTGAGTTTGATCTGCCAACCTTGCAGTTTAAATGGACATACGGTTGCGTGCTTATCCTACAGCGCCACACTGGGACTCCTTCTGCTGCTGTGAGAAACATCACACAAAACTAAACTCACCATCACCACCCAGTCAATTCCAGCTCACGGTGATCCGGAGGCCAGAGCAGAACTGCCCTATGGGGTTTCCAAGGTGGTAACCTTTATAGCAACAGACGGCCTTCACTTTCTCCCATGGAGCGACTGGGTTCAAACTACTAACTGTTAAGCTCAGCACTTAATCACTGTGCTACCAAGGCTCCTGGAATAAGCACTGTTGCTGTTGTTAAGTACCACAGAGTTGGTTCTGACTCATCGCACCCCATACAGACTTTTCGAGGATCAGCTGGTGGGGTTGAACCACTGATCTTGTGGTTCACAGTCCAGTGCGTACCCTATAGTGTCTTACCAGAAGTCCCGTAATACAGCACTATATGGTACCTAAACAGCAACAAAAAAGACAATTTGTAAAAGCTGCTGTCAAATGGATTCCAACTCACGGCAACCCCATGTGTTTCAGAGTACAGCTGCACTCCATAGGGTTTCTATGGCTCCAGTCCTGGTGTGGCACTGTAGGATAATCACTGGACTGCTAAACATAAGGTCAGTGGTTCTAACCCACTAGCTGCTTCTCAGAAACCCTACATAAGGTCGCTATGAGTCGGAACTGACCCTGTGGCACTTAACAACAACGAATCTTACAGAAGTAGATAGCCAGTCCTATGTTCCAAAGCACTGCCAGTGGACTCAAACCATCAACTTCCTGGTTAGCAGTTGAGTGAAATCTATTATCGCCAACCAGTCAGCTCCTACCACAGAACCGAGCACGTAGCTGGTGCTCAACAAATACTTACTGAGTGAATCTTCATAATACCCTTGTGGCAAAGAAACTCGTCAACTCAGATCTACACATCCTCAGTATCTTGTAGCCCAATGACTACAGAGTCAGTCACGTTTCTACTTTTAAAAAAATGATATACCTGAATTTTACATATAATAAGAAATATTGTATGTAATTCAAAATCAAAAGACAGGGAAAAAAACTAGTGTGGAATATAGTGAGGAAACATGAGTGTTTCGTGAGTAATAAGAAATGGGACTTTCACGGTTCAGAATGTTCAAATTCTGCAGTGAAAACCATCTCCTTTTCATTTCCCCCCAACATTTTTCTTCTCCTACTTATCACTAAAGGCTTTTTTGAAAAGAGCATTGTCAGCCCTTAATTTCTTTCTCCCATATCGAAGCTCATTCATAACACTGAGTTATGTGACATTTACGCTCATGGGCACTGTCGGATGTAACAGAGTTTTCTTTTTCTGTTTTGTAGAAATCAGGGTGGTGAACGTGCCCATCGGGAGGGGGCTCGCTCTCCCAACTGCAGGCGGGCACTTTGTTAGCAGTCAAGACGCTATCGAAGACGGAGAGGAGCAAGGAGACGAGGAAGGAATCATGGCCGGTCTTTCCTCAGAGATTTGGACAAAGTCCCCACAGCCAACCCAACTAATCAGAAAACACAAATACCAAAAGGTCCCTCACCCTCGCTGTGATTACTTGTGGCAGAGGGAGAAGGTCAGTGCCTCTCTATATTCATCTGCTGACCCCCTGAGCTCAGTGGACTGGGCCAAAATGAACTACAGTTGACTTTAAATCTAGACCAATGGATCTATAGCCTTACCTAGTTTCACAGATAAATCCATATGATGAACTTGTCACTTGAAAAGGTTAAGAGTTATTAGAGTATTCCTTTCAAAATGCCCAGTTGATTTTAAAATGTAAAGAGGTCAGCACAGTGCTTCAAAAAAGGTTAAAAGCATGTTGACTCTGGATTTGGAGCCACTGGAGGCTGGAAGTCGTCCATCAGCAAGGTTCTGAGAAGAATAATGTATGTATCTGCTTGCAGAATCTTAATATAAGGCCTAGGGGACAGGAAGCTGCATCTCTGGGAATGCTGGGAGCACCGCTATCACTGGGCAGGCCCTTCCCAGGAGCCCCTATCCATCTCCTAACGCAGAGTTTCACACCATGGTCTGTGCAGCCCTCAACCCCCAGATGCCGAGGGGCAAGGAAGGCCCCCAGCGTGAGGATCTGGACCTCACACCCCAACACCAAACAAGAGGACAGCACTCTCTTAGTGTTTGTAAGTTGGGGTTCTGAAAAATCTCTCACTGAAAACCAAACCCATACATGAGTTCTGCAAAACTAGCTCAATAAAGAAGAAACTACAGACCAGCAGAAGGACTTCAGGGTCCGAGGGAGCAGAGAGCGAGTTTGAACTTTGCTGAATGGGATTCGGGCGTAATCAGGGCTCAGTACATGGCTGCACTCACTGTTAAATTATCAAAAAGTTGCACTGAAAGGTACTAGGAGTGGCCCTCAAAACACACAGGAAAGAATGACACAGAGCAGGATGTGACGGAATATTTGATACAGTCCTTGGATAGGTCATCTCTTATACAAGTATTAAAAAAAAAAAAAAAACCCTTTCGACCCATTGTACCCAATAAGTACTAAGGCAGCCAGGACACAGAGCTTTTCCAGGACCTACAAAGGAAGGGGCAGGAGGAAGAGAGAGTGAAAGCAAAGAAAGAGCTCCAAGACATAAAAGCAAACTTTTAAATCAAGAGTGATACAATGTCTGTCACTACTAAAACATGACATTCAAGGATTTTGGTATTCACAAACATTTTAGTGTATTTTCAAATAATTTGTAAGCATTTTGTCTTTATGTCACAAAAATCACCAAGAATGTTCAATCATTACCGGGAACTCACAACCAACTTCCTATCAAGTGAAAAAATAAAAAAGCAAAAAAATAAAATAAAATAAAATCATTTCAAATCACTGCTAAAGCAACGTATATGTATATCCAAAAGGGTTTCAAAAAGTTGGTGAAAAAAATTCTATAATTTTTCAATTCCATTTTCCCATGAACTTTTCGAAACCACCTCACCATATATATGAGTGTGTCATAGCCATTCTGTATACAGTTTTGGAGGAGCGGCTGGTGAGCTTGAACCACTGACCTTGTAGTTCAAACCAACCCTGCAGTCCAACGCATTAACTCACTGCACCACACCAGGACACCATATATATCTGTGTGTGTATGTATATAAGTGTATTATATGCATATATGTGTGTATATGTATATAAGTGTATATATTATATATGTATATATGTAAGGAGCTCTGGTAG